TTATGAATTCAAGATGATAGTATGTTAATAATGTAATCAGACTTAATTTTAAGTTGATTATCGAGTCGTGACCATTACGTCTATACGAATGATAACTATTACGTCGAATAACACGTGATGCATATTTCAATGACGCTTTCTGCCACTGAGGCAGAAATAACCGAGTAAAAAAGTGTTTTCCTTACACGCAATAATACACAAATAGTCCAATTTTTAATAAATTCAATGCTCCAGTTATTCCGTAACAAGCTGCCCAAATTGTTGAAATTTCGTATTTTTCACGAGAACTATTTTCGCGACACGGTTTCCGAAATTTTCGTCTTTGTACGATTGAACAGTCGGGATATGTAACTCACACGTGACAAATCAGGACAGAATTTAAACAAAATTTATATTTAAATATAAAATTGAAATTTTGTTTATTTCGATTCCGTATTGCTTTTGCGGAAATTACGTGTATATTTTATTATTATCGAATACAGAAATAATTATACTAGATGCTTTAAGGTAATTGCCTTTCCTTTTACAGTACATTTCCTGATGAACTTGAGTCGATTTTTCTTTTTAGCGAAAATTCTGCCTTCTCTTTCATTTATAATTCTCTCTCTCTCTCTTTGAACTTTAGTTATAACCGTTCATTACTGTTGCAGTCTATTATTTTTAATATATAGCAATTTATTTATAAATTTTAAATAAAACATGCTGCTATATTGATATATTAATTGATTATCAAGATATTAGGGAAATCATCGTCAAATAAAAATTCATTCTTAATTCTCTAAAAAATACTTAATAAGTGCATTGAACATAAACCGAGTCATCAAAAACAGAATACTTAAATAACTACAATTTTCATATTCTCTTTGAATATGAAAGCCAACAAATATATGAAATATTATGTGTGCATCCAACGAATGAATATAACGAAGGAAATTTTTTTCTATTAAAGATAGAAAATTTTTATTTAATATCGTTAAAGTTATTATTAGTGTTTTTCAAAATCGAATCACATATTTTTCTATTTTTATAATTTTTTCTTGATATTTGCCTGATATCACAGCACGACTATTAATGTCGTAATATCATTCAAAAAGTTTGAATCTTGAACTTTTGAATTCAGAAGTTTATAATTAAAAACGAGAAAATCTTTAAAGTATGAAATCATTTTACTATTTTATGAAATTAGTCAGGCATAAATGTTTAGTGATTATCCAACATGCACAAGTATAGTTCCACACATTTATTCATATTTTTAATTCCAGAGGCATTTAAATATCCGACTTTTTTTCTTCTGGTGACTGCGTGGCAGACTTGTTTCCGCAAACCGACAATATTACACCTGTAAATTCTGTGCGCGACTTTTCAGACACTATGTACGTCCTGACGCGCGTCGCTCTATGCGCACGGGAAAACGTATTTAACCGGTAATGAGCGGCTGGAAGTTTTTGTTATAATTAGGTTGCTACCTCGCTTCCGGTATACCGGTGTGCGAGCTCTCACGGAACTGAGATTTCTTCATCAGCCTCTCTTTCTCCCTCTTCCACTCTTCTCTCCATCTCTCTCACACGGTGCCCTAAAAAAATGTATCACGCGCATATACCGCGCACATTGTACACGGGAATAAAGATGCACAAGGTGCACGCCGGGTGATGCATATGCACGAGAGCGCGTTTTGCAAAAAGAGAAAGTAGAGAGGTGTATGTGTGTAAGAGAGAGAAAGAAGATAGAGAGAATACTTGATTAGCCCTTTTTCTGACATGCGTCCCGGAAATGTTCCCTTTATTAACCAAGATGAAGAGGAAACTCCGGCGCTACGGCTCTTCCTTTGTCACAGTGAACAAATTTAATTTTCACAATGTTAAGTCTTCTAGATCTTTTATTTATTTATTCATTTATTCTTCGTTTTTTCTTGTACCTTTATCTATCTTCGGAATAGATTTACGTCAAGAATGAACACGTAGTTTTCAAAGTATTTTCGTGCATTATTTGAAGAAATTACGAATAGAGCGAGGGGAAACCTTGTTTCGGACTTTCGGCAACGCGAGCTCGAATTTACTGAGAGATACTATTGTCGCAGCGTGCTACTGTTCCTAAGGTCCCACAGGTCACTCTGCAAGTAGGTAGGTATAGATTGCACCGTGTGTGTGTTTAAGAAAACTTCTCGTCTTTTCTTTTCTTTTCCTCATCCTATCGGATAAACAAACTTATCTATCTGATCTGCTAAGGCTAAGAGTAAAAGAACGTTCTCTCCATCGATGTGTCTCTAACTCTGCATAGTCGAGAGACACTGGTATTGATCGATTCAGCGGGTGCAGGACAAATACTGGTTTATGCGGACACATATCACGGGATCGGCATTTGCTTAATGCATTCGCGCATCATAAACATTTTCCTTTCGGCTGTTCACGGATCGCATATCGCGTAAATAAAGTCTGACAAGGGTGTTAGTTGCAGGTCGCAGTCGCAAGAACATCAGATATCGATATTTCCTGATATTCATGAGCTATGAAACTACACTTGGGCTGAACTATAAAAGTTGTAAATTGCGATTTAAATTTGCGAACAAAACTACGATCGATGTATTGGATTTTTCTTATTATTGAGACTGATAACGTCTTCACATCATATATATTATATAAGCCGATATTATATAGTCCATTCTCTTATTTTAAGATTATCTCAAGTAATGTTTTAAAAGGCTAATACTCTATAATTGCTATGAGATTTTAATTCTTCGGTGCTACTCTCTTATTATAAATGAAACAATACAATTTTTTTTATTTATAGGAATGCGATTACATTTTGTAACAAAATTAAATTAATATACGCAATATTTTTTCGCGGATCGTCAAAGTTAAAAAAATTCAAGCGAAATTCGAATTTCAAATGTTTAAAGGTCACCAGCACTTTAAAAATTATTTTATCTTTTTTATTTTTGACACTGATTACGGCATACCCGAGTTTTCTTTTACCTTATATACCATAATTTTTTTTATTAATAAAAATACATACGCATGCTTGTTACTGTTATATATTCCTTAATATTTAGTATTTCGATTAGTCTTCGATTAAAAAAGTTTATTATAATGTGCTCATATTTATATGATATTTTTCACAATACCTAGTCTGATAAATTTGTGACGAAATCCTTTAGCCATCGAAGAGTTAAGACAGTAACGGTTTGAAGATGGTCTTAAATACAGGAACCGAATGAATGCCGGCCATAGTGTCTTAAAATATTAATACAAATTATACGGTAAATCTGACATTTATTTGTCTCTCTTTTTTACGCTTTAATCTTTTAAATTAATCTACAATTTTAAATTAATTAGGATTAATCTTAATTTTTCGAGAGTTTTTTGCTTTGTCATCTGTATAGTTACTGTTTTTATAAAAAGTTTATATACAATCATCATATCCTGTTGACCGAAATAAAATAGTACAAAATGAACAAAGTCGTCGACATCACCTTTATATTTTCATCCATCATAAAACAGTAGATGTTTTTCCGATTCGATTTCGTTCAAGTTTCTGACAGAGATAAAATGTAAAAACTGTACTATTTTACCAGTGGGCGGACAGTTATCTTATTCGTTTTCTATGTTTCCATAAATTATTAGTGATATATTTTTATTTTTTCATTTGTCTGCGAGGACAATACATTTTTAATATCTTAACATTAACTTTATACATATGTATATCACGAAATGTTAATGTTGTACTTCGACCTTTTAATAAATTTCAGAGATGCAAAGATGTTTCGTTTTATCATCTTATATCGTTATTAGTAACTGATATAAAGCATCAAGAAGAGTAAAGAATATTTGTAAATTCATATTCCTGTTTTATAATTAAAAATTCCTTCTCCATCTTTCTTTCGTACCTTCGAATAAAAGAAACAAATAGACATTCTGTTTCCGGGTTCACCTATTACGGTTCCATAAATTTCCATAAATTTTCTTATTCTAAGAATAATGAGCAGCAATATATATTTAGGTCAGGGAATTTTATAAAAAAAATTGTGAGAAAGGGCATTATTAGAAATTGACAGATTAATGAAAAAATTACACACTCGGAGTAATAATAATCCGCACTCAAGCACAGTGGCCTACATTAAACAAAATAACTGAAATAATCGGTAATGAGCAGTAATATATATTTGGGTCAGGGAATTTTATAAAAATTTGTGAGAAGAGGCATTATCAGAAATTAGCAGATTAATGGAAAAAAATATACATTTGGTGTAATAACAATTCGCATTTAATAACAATTACAACGCCCTACATTAAGAAATTAACCATAATAATCGGTATTTTGCAACATTATATATTTAGGTCGAGAAATTTTACAAAAAAATGTGATAAGAATAGACATTATTAGAAATTAGCAGATTAATGAAAAAAATTACACACTCAACGTAATAACAATCCGTACTTAGGATTACGTGTGCTGTACGCTCTACATAAAAAAAAATCACTCAAATTAATTAGTGGAGGCGCAAACTACAGAGATCGTTTGAAGTTTGAAGGTATCGCGTTTGTTATTAATAATTTAGCGGCGCATCGCATTACTCGTGGGAGTCGCTGGCTAATATCCGGCACGCTGAACCAGCTGCTGCAATATCGCGGAATCAGCGCACGAATTTTCGGTCATCGCTTTATCCCTGGTGTATCTCAGCGCGTGAGCCGCGTGCCCCTTTCCGAATAATCGAGCTTCCTCTCCGTGCGAGTTTCCGCCGCTCGCGGGTTCCGCCGCTACACGAAGTACGGACACGTCCCGTGTCCCGGTCCCCGGCTTCGGAAGAGCTTGCGCCAGTTCAGCACGCAGAGAGCCGCGCGCCGCGGTACGGAACACTCCGGGACAGGTTCCCAACGCGGTAGCGCGCCGCTGGCCGCAGTACCGTCGTACGGTTTGCGCAAGAACCATCCGCTCGTTTCTCATCGACATGACACTCGGCTCACCTGCCATCCTACTGTCATAAAGACCGAGTCCTTCCCTCGACTCGCTATCGATCTCACATCTTCCGAGTCTTCCTAACGTCGGTCTTTTGTCTTCCGTTTTTCGATCACGATATTGCACCAAGTCGTCGGGCTTGCGTGAATAGTGAACGATTGATCGTGTGAACACCGGTGAACGATGTGAACGCATGGTCCCGATGGTGCACGACTCGGCCAATGATCGAGAGAGTCGATCGAAACACATCTCTCAATGATCCTTCAAAGGATGGATATAAACGCGACGACGCTCGATAGAGACGAGGGGATGAAAGGTTTCAATGCTGGCTTCATTCCTACCGATATCATCTCCGAAACGTAGACGCCTTATAACGCGACTCGGTGATTGAGAATCGATACGCGTGCTGCGGAAGAATTATGTGACGATCGTGTCCGTGCTTCTTCACAATTTCCTTGGAATTTCAAGTATCCCTTGAAAAAGAGGAAAGTCTCTTCTCATGAGAAAGCTCTTGAAGAGCCTAAATATCTAGGTCGTTCCCGTATTAATTACGAGTTTTCACGCGTTAATCACCTGAGATTGTCAATGCGCGAGCGAGTTTGCTTTTAATCCTTTATTTTTAATTCGTTTTAGTTCTTGTAGTTTAGATTTTTCTTCACGTTTGTTATTTTATCATTGTTTAAATTAATAGCGTTAAATTTCAAGATATTTATATCAATACAGATGAGATTAAATTTATCTTCTTAGATATTTGAATTATATTTATATTTGTGTTATAAATTGATTTCGATTATTAATCGATTCATTACCTCATTAACCGATATATCAAATTTATTTTCACGTTAATTATTCGGTCTTTCAAATTGTTAAACGATATTTATTACTGAGTTTACTTTTCCTCACACACACACACACACACATTATTTAAATTATTCAAATATTCCTAGTTGTTATAATTCTATCATAAACATAACTGACATATACACGCAATTGGATTTTTTACTAATTATTTCGATAATTATTTTATCAAAGTTTCATTTTCGGGGCTGTCGAATTTTTAGACATTTTAACAGTCGCCAGGGGACAACGATTGCAATAGGGTTCGAAAAGACGGAGAGATACCTACTGACCTATACTGAGAGCAAAGTTCAGTGATCACATAACTTCACGTCGTCGAATGTGCTTCCGCGAAGACAATCTCGTGAGTGCGAGAAATCAAACGGTGAGACTCAAACGTGATTTATTTTTCGTCGCAAAAGTAAAAATATCGATGGAAGGAACTAGGTTGTAACGCTTCGACTTTTGCTTCTTCATTTGATATAGAATATCAACAGCGACGGCGGCGATAATATAATTAAACAACTCTAAGAAGCAACAACAATATAGAGCAATATTAATTAATGCGTTCAAGTGACCTGCGTATAAATAAAAAAAAACAATAAACTGTGATATAAAATTGGGATAGGTGGTCCCCTAAATAAACCACTGCCATCAACTGTTAAATTAACTGTGGACAAGAAATTTCATCTTTTGACGTGTGTTTATATGTTTGTGTGCATGTGCGGTTTATACACGACGGAACGTTTGTATGAAATCGGACAAGTCAACGGAGTTAAGCATCGCTAATTATCTTAGAGCCCTCGTATAATTGCCACTAATTAATCAACGCGACTCTTGACGCTCCTTGTCTCCGTCGCATTCGAGCTCTGAATTTCACTTCCTGCCGTCGCCAGGTGAGTCGAGCTGTGCAAATACAATTTTTCGGCTATAATTTAATAGCTATTTTTGTAGACATTTACACTTATTTAATTAAATAAGAAAAATCCTACATATTCAGCCAAAGCAAATCTTAGTGTTTAAATATTTCTGTATAAATTTATATGCATATCTGATTCTGCAAACCACGTGATGAATTTTTTTTATACCTATCTATACATAAACGGCATTCTAATCACGTAAGATACTCGATAAATACATACATTTAATCTTTTTTGCCGACCTTGCGAACTAATAAACTGATTTTACAAAGGCAGAGTTTCCGTTGAAACTGTAATCGAGAATACATACCGTGTAATACGATTTTTATAATTCCGTTCGCCTCCCGAGATTCGAAAACAATGATAGAATAAAAAAAAATAACAAAAACCGGAATATTTTAATATAAAAATATCTGCGTGCTTCATATATTTATAACATTTCAGTGGATGTGAAGTTCTAAGGACTTTTAAATAAAAAAGGAAAATAAAATTAATTGCTCTTCATATGTACTTTGTTGTATTTTTCACATTTTTCAGTATTAATTGTGGAATCAAATTTTATTTAATTTTCAAGAAAAAAAGGATATTATTGGGATCAACAATGTCAAAATTACGAAATAAATGGCAAGAGTTTCAATGATACTACACCTATAATTGAAGATTAAATTCGCACATATCGATATTGCGTTATCAGTTTTTAGAACTTTATCCTTCTTTTTTCAACTTTGCCCGAGTATGCTCGAAAGAATTGCAGCATTTCTTCGGGTTAGCTGCAGCACTAACGCGCATCTGCCGCCGCATATCTCGCGGCTCGACCTCGCCGATTCTTTACATTCGCATTTACGTTTACGAGCGTGGAAAGCATGAAGATAAGTTGGAGTCGTTGCGGCAACTTTCCGCGGTGAACGAAATTTACCATTGCATTGTGCGTCTCTTATCGGCCATAACAGCTTCGGACTCTGGTCTGTCGTTAATCTATGAAGCACGGACTCTGAGAAACTTTGCTTTTCAAGGAATTTCTCATTTGCGCGATTATTCATCAAGCGTGTAAAGTGTATATAAAAAACTCATACCTGTTTTACATCTGGTAGAAGAAGAAGAAAGAGAAGAGAGAAAAAGATGGTTTATTAAAAAAATAATATAATATACATAATAAATATTAATAATGTTAGCACACAAACGATGTTAATAATAACTTGAATATTTTTATTCTGGTTATTCTTTCACATCTATATTATATTAGAATAAACTTATATAAAGCAGTTTTTTTAAATTTTCTTTACTAAACTCATATAAAAAGATAAAAGCAATGAAAATATATAAAATTATAAATTATTTTGAGATATATATATCTTAACGAGAGAGTTAAATCTCGCATATGATTGTTATGATCATCTTTTTTATGCATTCATTTTTTCCATTGTGCCAGATGGAAAATATGATTGATCGCAATACACACATTTTTGCTTCATTCATTTCAATATTTATATTCACATGGTTTTCATCTTTCGAGGAGAAGTTCCGAGGAATATTTTCAAGAATCACTATGGAAAGCCTTTGAAACCCTCAAAATACCGTGCGACTCGGAAAAGCAGGAACATTTTCATCTTGCGATATGACATAAAAACTGCCGATTCAGCAGATTGCGTTTTATTTATACGTTGTTCTCAGGAAAATGCGATATCGTCGCGGTGGAAAAGTTTAAACGGGGCAGAATGCCATTTGTTCATTTATACACGTTAGAATAGAGGGAAATATTTCTGGTTTAGTAGCCGCGGCGTTTATCTGCTACGCTCTTCTGTTTGCATACCTCGTTTGTATAAAGATCGAGTGTTAGAATGAATAAATCCATTACACGTAATTACATACATTACAAGAAAGCATCTTAATTCTAAAGCGTATAATTTTCTTTCATTATAAATACAAAATTTAATTACATAAACACGTTATTCGCAAATTATTATTAAGAGAATTGTGATAATAATTTTATAATTTACTATGAAATTATATATAGTTATATATTCACTTAATTAATTTTGATATTTTGTTTACAACATTGGATTGAAATAATTTTATTTTAATCTATTATTATTATGATGCAATATAAACACTAAATTAATAATAATCTACAAAATATACGAGATTACCTGATAAAGATATCTCGACATAATTTCAAGATTTTCTATTATTACATAATAAACAACAAAAGGCTCGAATTAATTAATTAATTTATTATAATATTCGTAAATTTTAAGACACAGAGTATCTTAAAATTTGCGAATCAAAACAGCACAGTAAAAGTTAAAAAAAAAATAAGTTATAAAAGTATTTGCCATTTGTTCGGAGTGATACTTTTTAAAGTATAAAGATGATAAAAGTTTAAAACTGGCTCCAATTATAGATTGCGAATAACAGTATTTACTATCGACACGTAGCGACTTACGGATAAATGATAGTTTAATCGTAATCTTTAATTAGCCATATAATTTTTATGTTTATGTTTTAAAAATTGTTGCTCAGAATGACAAATGTTCACAACAACAAATGAATATAAAGTACTATACCTTACTAAGTATAATGTAGAATTTTAATAAACCAGCTGTCTCAGCAAAGCGCGATTAATATATGAGAATTGCGGTTGGTTCTGTCCTCGAAATATCATAAATTAATGTTTATTAAGCATTACTAGAAAATGACGTCAATTTATAATAAGGAATTCTGCAAGCTCATGTAAAATTTTCAATTATATTCGTGTAAGCACCGTTATCCCAATTGTTATTTCGTTGTCATAAACGTATTCACGCGTTAATGGTTTTTGCATACGCAGAGAATTTCATGTGGATTATTACGTTTATTTATTCGGTGGAGCTAGCTAGGTGGCCTGCTATAAAGCAATATTTATTTTACATTACACACAATGCGCATTCCAACAATTTTTTGCAGCATTGTGTTTTGTGTGTGCAAATCTACTATACATAAAAGATCTAAACATGAGAAGTACGTTATAATTATTCAATTATATAATAAGACAAATTGGACTTTATTTTTTTTTTACAGTTCTGAAATATAAGAAAAATTGAGATACTTAAAAAATTAGTAATTATAATATATGGTCTACTTTATCAGTATTATATTTTTACCATTCAAGATATATTAATAATGTTAAATAGAGGATTCTTTAAATTATAACATGACATAATATTTCTAATCATTGAAGTATCAAGAAATTGTTTATTGTTCCAAATGTTTCTCAATAACTAACTAAAGTATTATTGTATATTTGAGTATTGTAGAAAAATGATAACATTTTAACGGCATTGGATGTAATTAAATATAATATCTACAAACTCTCTACAAACAGAAATTTTTCGGCCATTTTATAATGGACGAATAAGAATTTTCTCTCTCTGCTTAAATTTGTTAGAATTCTGATTGAGAGAATATTTTTGGTAAAATCTATTAGAATTCTTATTTTTACCAAAATAATTATATCAGTCAGAATTTTATCCGTTATCTCAATTAGAATTCTAGTAGATTTAACTAGAAAATTTTGATTCGTCCATTTTCCACCAGAATTTTTCAGTATGTCCGAATTAATTTCGTATAAAAAAATTCTCCCTTCGAGAAGATTTGTCAATTACTTTCTCACGAAATTTCGTTCCTCACAAATTGAGAGTTATTTCACGAGTAGGTTCATCACCGAAAGCATCTCGCATTTCATCCGTGCAAACTTCAGTTCGTTCCTCTTTCCTCGTTGCGATATTGTGCTCGTCGAATCGCGAAGCCTCGTTTTACCGTGTGATGTCCGGAGTTTATTTTCGTGCCCTCTCATTCTGCCAAAATGAGGCACGCCGCGGAAATTAAACTCGAGAATAATGAGTTAATTTGAGCTCGCGATTAGTTAACTCCACTCCTGCCCGATGTGGACGCTCGACTAGAGTTTCGCGCATGGAATTGCATCGAATTTTTCAACTGTAGTAAACGCTTGTGGCAGAAATGAAATGGAGCACGATATAATGATAAAGATTGTACATGTTAATCTTCTTTTCGAATTTCCTTTCAATTATACTAATATCGTTCTGATACTAATGATTTATTCATTCGCATACATCGCAATGTCTTCTTCAAAGTATGGAAATTTAAATATCTGATTATATCTTTTTTTAAATATATACAAATTATTAACCCTTACCGTACCATCTACAATTTGGTGCCTCATCCATACCATAAAGGATTACTTCAAATCTCTTCGTTTTTTCACCTCTTCAAAATAATTTTAAAAATCTCTAAAAATTCACCAACATATTTTCAACTTTCTAAAATAAATATTGACTCTTTATTTTGAAAAATAATAAACTGTAG